GTACAAAATTTTCGACTTCGTCCCTTTTTTCAACTTTCTGGGTGTGGGTGTGGGTGGGTGTGGGTGTGTGGGTGTGGGTGTGGGTGTGGGTGGGTGTGGGTGTGGGTGTGGGTGTGTGGGTGTGGGTGTGGGTGCATTCGAATGGCATGCCCACATCTACACCCACACTCACACCCACCCACACCGTTTGAACTAGACAGTTTGAATAAAAAACTGCGAAAAAATGAAGAAAGCATCGAATTGGATTGTAATAATATCAGAATGGCATCCGACATTAACTCAAGTGTTTTGTGCATTTTTCTGTGTGTTGTATCGAATCACTGGTAGAAGTGTTACTTTATTTCATTTATAATAAAGAATAAATATAAATAAAATCTTCACCTTTATAAGATAAAGAAATTCTTTATATTTGAAAAATAAATGAAATCTTTGCATTTATAAAATAAAGATAAAGATTTTTTTTTATTTATCTTTATAAAATAAAGATAGATAAATAATAAAGAAACTTTTTTTATGAGGACCTAACCTTTAATTTTTATCAAGCAGTTCACAAAAAGTTAGGATACTATAGATAAAAATTAAATATAGAGAAGTATTTTTTGTATATATTTTTTCATATATCATATTGATTTATTAACAATATTACATGTCAAAGTGATATTATTGATTAGAAAGTATATTGATTAACATATCGTGTTGTTATACTAGGTATTTGTCTATTTACTTTTCACAGAAAAAATATTTCTTGATTCTTTATTTTATCCCTATTTTTGGAAATAAAAGTTTATTTATTTCTTTTTTTTATAAAGTAAAGATAAAGTAACACCCCTATAATCGGTGGTATTTCTACGATATAATTAACCGTAATATTCAATAAATTTTGTTTACTTCAGCAATATTTTTCTCCATCATTATACTTTACAAACTAATCTGTAATTTATATACATGATATTCCTCTTTCAGGTTCAAGTATTTCTATTGCTTTCCATGGGAGATAGTCTATACGAACTTGTGTCTGTAGAAATCAGGTACTTTCAACAGATCCAGTACTTGCTTAGTGTAAAAAATCAACCAAATTTATTAATTTGGTTCTTTAACTGTCAGATAGAGCCTCAAAGTAAACACATGTTCTAAGTATTTGAGACTGATACAGAACAGTTTTACCTGTGTTTTATGATCAAACACTTTCTAGAAGTCTCTTCAAACGTTCGACTGCAAACAGAACAAGATCTTTTTGTTTGCACTGACTGTCACATCCCATTGAGCAGTAATTCACAAATTATTGAATGGTACCAATCATTTGTACACATGCAGGGGTCACAGCGACATTACTTTCCAGATTTTTCCCTGATTTTTCAGTTTTCATTCGTAAACTTTATAAATTGATTTGTTTATCAAATTCACAAATTAACTTAGTGTTTACTGCACCATACATCAACTATGAAATGCTGTAATAGAAGCCAGATATTTGTTTTTTACAACTGGTAGATTGGAAAGAATAGATAATCTCTAAAGATTGCTCTAACATATATACATCTTCAAAATTTTCATAGTAAAGTGCTATGTATACAATTATTGTGCATCAATTAGTCAGTAAAAGAAAAACAAAACTAAACACAAGACTGATAAAGTTGCTATTCTGCGCCATCTCTTCTTACCTTTACGATAATGCACGTGAAAAGAAATGAGAATTTATTATTATTTAAAATAATGTGGGTTATTCATTCACCAATTACAATGAGGTATATATACGAATGAAGCAATATCTGCTACCATTCTTCTTGTTGAGAGACAATGAACTGCCATGTACAGAAACAATGCTTCAAACGAATTCATAACATATGATGCAAAATAATGGTACAAAATGTCGATCCTTATACTTCTTCATAGATACAGTTCTGGAAAGAAAATTTTTTTATTAATCGATAGGAAATTCTCTTCTGTTTCGATGATGTGGCTATCGGATACATGTTTGAAGAGAATAACCACACCTACACCGATTCACATCCCACACCCTTGAAATATTCGAACAATATAAAAGAATTAGAAATATATCCGAAACTTATTAAACATCTTTTCTATTTTTTACTTTCACACAATGTCCGATAGTTTATGACATCTCGTTTTTCTAAGTTAAAGTAAAGACGATTTTATTTGCAGTGATAGGCATCAGTATATAAGCGACTAAGAAGAAAAAGAGCCATTGAGAAATAGCTAAAATTTTGTGAGACAAAATGTTATGGACAATAGTCAGAGGTCTGTATTGAGAAGATAGAGTCAAAGTTTTAGAAAGCCACTTATAATCAAAACGTACACTATGTCATAATCAAATTTAAAGAGACATTCAGCTTCTTCCAATTTGACTAACATAACATGGAGGAACTTAAGTCACAGACTGCAGCAGCCTCCTGAAAAAGAAAAACTGTCTCTGAAGCATTGGTACCATTAGACAAAATAATAATCTGTGTACGGAGCTTTGAATATTAGTTTAGGTAAAATGAATTCCCACACCCACAATCTGCTTTGTCGATTCTTTTGCGATTCAAGATCTTTCATCTGTCTATCTTATTTATTGTTCTACTAATAAGTATGTGTGAATAAATGAAAAACGTTGATTATTAGGAGTTGCCGATAAAATTGATTTTACTTTAATCTTGATGTTTGCAAACACCAAGATTACATGCTTCGCAGAGTTCACTAATGTGGGGTCCATTTGAAAAATACATTTCACTCCTTGCACTCTCGTTTGTTCTTTCCTTTCGCGGCTTGCCATAAATATTGCAGTCAATACGTTCCAGAAGTTTGGAGAGAAATAAGTTTATTTTGTCACTGTCGAAACTTGGCTCGGCAAACGATACACCACGAATACACTTCAAACATTTTTGACCGAAGAGGCGCATGCCGATCCTGCCTAACGGTTCATTTCTTGCTGGATAGTAAAATACCACATTAGCTTTCGCTGATGACCAATGATTTGAACATCGATTACAGGTAAAACTTGATTAGAAGACAACAATGTCATTCATTAGGAAAGTTTCACTGAATCAAACATCAACTCACTGCGCATAACCGGTACGTTGCATTTTTCGTTTGGATTGCACTCGACTTTGTTGATCGACATCATTTCGATGAATACAGTACAGAGTCCATTGATCAGGGCAATCTTCGAGGATCTCGTTGAATGCATCTTGCCACTCGAGAAACGACATCTTTAGTCGTCTTAGTCGAACTGAAATACACAGGAAGAAAACGTATTCTCACTTCAGAAATTGAATTTATAAAAACCATCTCGTGTATGTATGAGTATATATAGACTCTTTTAATGTTCTAGACGCTAACTTACCTGACTCTTAAACATGAAATAGCTGCCATATGTCTAGAGAGTACATTATTTTATCTTTTTCATAGAAGTCTGAGTGGTGTCTGTCTTTGTTTTCGTTGATAAGATGAATAATAAAAATATCTTGTAATAAAAAACTGTGTTGCTGTGATGCGGTGCAGCCCTTACTCTCTCAAAATAAGTGGCTGCATTCAAATAAGCAGGTAGCTGCCGATGAGTCAAGCTCAGTACTCCTCCAGTTTATTCTCTAATTCTTCTTCCCAATTAAATTTCGTTCTAACTGTATTTAGTTCCGTTTTCAATGCATCTCATGAATTAAGATTAATAAAGATAGTGCTTGAAAACTAGGCATTGTGTAAATGCCAACAGTCGTGTCTAATGAATCATCGTGATATAGGGTGTGGGTGTGGGTATCGGATATACGTTTGAAGAGAATAATCACACACCCTCAAAGACGTGACAGACATTGTTGATCTATGGTTCAAGATCGCAGATCAATAACGTCCGCTACAATACATGAATTACTTCCTTATTGCATTGCGGAAGGATTAACTAAAATAAGGGTGAAGAAATGTGTCCGAAAATAAATAGAATACAACAGTCTTCCTGCAATCATCAGCAGCAAATGTATCGTGTTTCACATTTTAATGTCATAGCATGGCATAAACAACTTTTAATATATGTTGAAGTCTCTTGAAGTATGTTACTTCCCTTCGCCACAATCACACCTAAGCTAAAACCTATTAGATACTCTTATATGTTTCATTAATATTTTTTCCTATATTTTCTATTCACATAATAAATCTTATTTCGATTTTGTTTTGTGGACATTTGTTCTAAACTGGTCAGAATCATGCCTAGATATCTAATAAATGTTTTTTGTTATAATATGTCCCCCTTTTTTTTTTTACTAAATATACCGTTACAATCGACAATATAAAAAACAAAGAAACTAGTCATAAATTGAAAAAGAAGACATTACCTATATGTACAAAAAAAAATATTAATCTAACATAAAGATATTTCATGTTGAGGAAATAATTCGATAGAAAGCACACAGAAAAAAACAATTAACACATCTAAGAAGACAACAATTATCACATATAAACCTTGAGCAAAATAGAAATTGAAAAAGTAGCGCGCTCTTTTACGCCTGAGATAATTATAAAAAAAAAAAAGCGAAACAAATAAAAAATAGAAAAACTCATGTCGAAATTCCACCTTTTGATTTGATATTATTGGCTATTTGAAGAATTTTTCCTAGACGATCTTTCGAACGAATTTTCTTTGGTGATGATGAAGATGATAATAAACGTTTTTTTCTTGATAATGAAGATTTTGATATAGTTGGCGGGAATATTTCAGATACCTTTAGTTCTAAATCATGAATAGAATAGATCAAAAAATTAATAAGATAATATTTTACCTTCAGTCGTTTTTTTTCGTTCAATTTTAATTTTTTTTCTTATCTTTACTTGATCTATATCAGATGATTTAGAATTGGATTTTTCTATAAAAAAAAAAAATTATTCATTGTATTATTAAATACAAAGAAAAATGTAATATTTACTTAATGATGAAATTTTCTGTTTCGAATATCGATTTTCTTGTTTTATTTCAATGTTTTTATCATAAGTCTTATCAATAATAGACCTTTTAACGAATGGCACAAGACTACCACCAGTTATATTGAATAGTCCTGAATTATTATCACGACTTTCAATATTATCTGCAGGTGATTTGCCGGATATTGAAGAAATATTTGTATCATTTGTTGCTTCAATGTCATCCATAAACGGTCTATACAAAAAATTAAGATATAAAATTCGTTCTAGGACTTTTCGTTGTACGAACAAAATGTTTCAAAGGTACAGGTGTGTACAGATGTAAAAGTTTGAGGAACGGATAACATGGATATATGCAATCGTAATATATCAAAAAATAAATGCTGAAATATGCCGTTGTTTGAATAACTTTCGGTCGTTTATGGCTATCGAAATCGACTTTTCATCATTAGATAGAGCAATGTTCGAAACGTCTATCTATGTCACATTTATTAAGTTCAAAGAAGTTCTTCATAGATATTTTCAGATAGACATATTACCCTGGATTTCATGCTTCAAGAAAAGTATTCTGAAATCTGGGAATTTTATGGGAAATGCGGCTCTCTTTGTGCTGCAGTATGGTATAATTTCAGGTCAGGTTGCTACGAAAAATAATTTACGCCTACAAATACCCATGAAGAACTTCTTCGAACCAACTGAATGTTACATAGATAAGCGGTTTTCAATATTGCTCTATCTAATAGCAAAAACTTCACTTCGATAGCTGTCAACGATTGAAAGTTATTCAAAAAAGTGATGGTTGGCATTTTAATGAAAATTCTACAATAGTCCTTATTTTTTAGTCAGAAAAGATATAGCAAAATTTTGTATGTACGACATGCTAATCTTGCAACGTGCTGTTCGTATGAGGAAAAGTCCGGTTACTATAAAATATTCGTCTATGTTTGTTTCTAGGACTCCATTTTGTGATTTCCATGTCCTATTAATAAGAAATAATTCGCAATGAGTCAGTCTTTAGTTATGTCTTGCGAGAATCAGAAATGGAAATTCTTGTGAACACTTCGGGAATAGGAATGATATGAAAAGATGGGCGTTCCCGAACATCGTTTTGTTTTATGTATACAGTCTGTAAACTTTCGTTTTGTCAAACAAAAAATGTTGAAATCAATCCGATATGACATTGATCCTAAGACACTTGCCTCACTTATAATTAATTAACAGAATAATAACAAATACCTATCAATAAATATCAGACAAGTTCATCTATTTTTTTATTCGTTTTTCAACTGATGAAGAAAACAATTCTCTTGACCTTAACGTTGATAAATTTCGACGTATAAATAATAATTTTGTTGTTAACTTAAGGTCCTTTCAAGTTGCACAAAATCTGACATGAGTAGAAACTTGTGTCTAGTTATGATAGGTCAAATCCTAATAGGAATTCTGAAAGCATTACGAAAACGAGAATCGAGAAAATATTTCAAAGTTAATATGTATCATACGTTGTTAAAAGCATAGGTCTTGATGTTGGAGAAAGTAGACTAGGCTAGCCCCTTTCTTACTCTCCAGGATTTCTCGAGAATGACTCGATGAAAAATGATGAAACTTGTAAAGTACACAGATCTCGATAAGGAAACTAAATGTTGTCCTAGACTCAACATCCTCAGATGCTTCCTTCAGAAAGACATGAATGTCGAAAATGGCCAGAAGTCGTTCCGGCAAAACTATGTTTCATTATTTCTAGCTGAGATTTTTTTATGATGACTAGGATCGTCAAAAAAAGTGTTTCTTCTCAATGGTACTCAGTGTTTGAAGACTGTCGAATTTCGTAGAAACAACATCTCGAAGCTCTAGCAAAAATCGAAAAAATTTTGGTTTTTTACATTCGAAGGAGGGCTTCCTTTAATTGTCATTGGAAAACTGTCTACTGAATTTTAGTAGGCAGATTTTCTCAGTTTTCTTTCTCCTAGAGAGACTATCTCCGGCTGTTTGTCAAATTTCTAGCTGTTTCTACTTCTAAAAACGATTGAGAGTTCTGAAATAAAACATAAAATATTCGACTTACTTAACATGAGAATGTTGAATAAAATGTTGTCGTTCAGATTCGATACCTAGATAAACAATATTAAATAAACCAATAAATAGAACTTTCTTTAAGATATTTACCAAGTTTATATGATATTCTAGATGAATTTTCATGCTGTGAACGGCTATCACTAAATTTTCATATGTATATATATATTATTCGATGATTGAAATATTTTTCTTACTTTTTCTTTTGTTTAACTGATGATAATGGTCGTCCAACTTTTTTCTTTTGTATTGTTCGTAATAAATTTGTATTATTACTTCCTTTTCCATCTTCATCTACTGTTGATTTTACAGTTAATTTAACTTCATGACCAACTATTGTTTCTTTATTTTTACTTCTTTCTGAACTAGATGATAAACGACGACATTTAATTTTAATCTTTTAAAAAAGAAAATTTAATAAATTATTTCAATAGAATAATAAATATAAATATAAATAACCTTATTTTCACCGATTTGAACTAATTCTCTCTTATTATCAAGTAGAAGTTCAATTTTATTTGAATTTGTTATAGTAGTTTTTGAAGGTAATTTAGAATAACATGATAATCCACAACGTGTCTAATATCATAGAAAATTTTTCTTTATTTTAGTTTTAATATTCAAAAACAAGAATCATACTTTAACTTTATCAAGTTCACGTGAAAGATCACGTAAAAGTTTTTCACAATTAATACCTTTCGGTATTATATATCGATTTCGTATTTGATACTTAAATATGAATTTATATGAATAATTATAGATGTAAGAAATATAATTCTTACTCGTTTATCCATTGTTAACCATCGATTCATATGATAAAGAATTGATTCCGATGCTTGTTGTATTATATGATTAATTGCAGATGAATTTAAATCATTACATTCTATTTAGAGAAAAATAGAATATAAATAGATAACATATTTCATTATTACCTCTTAATTTTTCGTAGAAATTTTTCGCAGCATACCAATGAAATGTTTCAAATAACGGATATTTAAATTTTTGTGGAACTTTAGCAAGACATTCCAATTCGTAGATGCTATAACAAAGTGTTCAGACAGGATTCTAGATTGTTTGAGATAAAGAATCATTTATTCACTACATATTAAAATGTCGCTATTTGAAATCTTAACGATGGCTGCAGTACGGCTCAATTTAGATAAAAAATTGACTTACGTCGAAGCATATATTTCAAGTCACATAAGTTTCGTATGAAACTTAAAAACTAGATTTGAAATTTCTTTATATAAAAAGTTGTCAACACAAATCCTGAAGGATGAAGATGTTAATCCTCTCCGTCATCCATTCACTTACTCCTCTAGAAATATAATAAGGAAGTAGTTCATATATTATAGCAAGACATTACCGATATACGATCAAATATCGTGCTTTACAAAAGTTATCACTTTATAATAATGCAAATGAAAGACAGAAATTAATTCTCAGTATAAGATTGAAAGAATAAACAAGACATTTTAAATCTTGCTTCAATACTATTCTTTTGTCTTTCTATAACTATCAGCATAGGTAACGTCAAACTAATTTCGTGCGCCTATTTTCAGAGATAGCCATGTTCACTTGTTATCATTCTCTCTCTGTCATTTTATATGTGCCTACCGAAGTTGCATATCAACACCCATAGATTGAAGAAAATTACCACCAAATACAAGCGAATCTGTCACTGTGTAAACGGCATGAATCCATCTAAGAAATAAATTATATTTAATAGTAAATTACTTCAGACACAGAGAAACAAACAAACCCGGGTGGTAGCAAAATAGTATTTCCTTCACGTATATGCATTTTATAACAATGTGAAACACAGTCACCTAAAAATGTTTCCGATTCATTTGGTGATTTAGACCAATCAGCATATTTTTGTAAATTTTCATCAGTTGGTTCAATTAAATAAAAGATTTTTTCACCCTTAAACAAAATCAAAAACGAAATGAATACGTTTCATGTTTGTCAGAATTATACAATAAGTCTTACCCTCACAATTGAATACCAAACACTTGAACCACCAAAATCAATATGAAAATCTGTATAAGATGATTGTGGACTGATTAAACAGTATTTTGCTACTTCTGGGCGTGCAAAGTTTTCAAAATGATTTGAATTTAAATCTTCATCTTCATCACTTTGATCCGTATCAGTCGTCGATGAAACTGTTCGACGTTTCGTTTTTGATAGAGGTAATTGTAATGGCCATGCTTGATTGTTTTTTAATTCATTTGTTTCATTTGTTTCAACGTCGTCTTCAAATTTCTCATCCGTTTTCTTGTTTGGCCAAATACCAGTAGTAGCCCAAGATAAATCTCGAACTATTTTTGGTATAATAATGAATTCACCCAATCTTAATATAACAAAACAAATTGATGCAAAACATTTTCACATTTTTATTTAAAATCTATCTAACCTCACGAAATGAATACACCCTTGTCACTCACATCCAGAACTTTTCTAGAGCCACTCAATACATAGGATATTTATAATTTAAAGAACAACAAAAATTCTATTTTGTCACCGAAATCGACTAGGAGTTTGATGCAAAGTTACAAAGTGTACACAACAAATATCCAATTATTATTACAAGCATAACGGTGTTTTGCTACGTTATTTCAGTAAAAGTATGAACAGATAATTACAATCAACAGAATATCGAGAAGAACAAAACAAAAACAAAAACAGAATTTAAAACGTATTCCTATGAGGTTTATCTAAACATCTCAACATTCATTTCAATATCAAATAGCGAAAATACAAAAAGGCAATTTATCTTTTTAATTTGTGCACAGTAGACCGTAAGCGGTTAATGTGATACAAAGTTGGGATATCTCAACTTTGATTTTATTGTAAGTCATAGAAGCCTATTTTAAGTTTCTAGTTCGATATATAAGTAACACAAGTACGTCAATAAATATTGCTTGGAAGTGTCATCATTATGTTCACTAAAGAAATATAATCAGTTGTCAAGTAAAACAAAAACATTTAGAATGATCGATAGATAATTTTAGTTCTCATCCAAAATACTAACAAGAAACAATCGAAATCAATTTTATGAATGATATCACATAGAGCAAACTTTTAGGATTAGTTATTTTAAAAATCAAACGTTTGGATATTTTAAATCTTCAAGTATGAAACAATGGTTTTTTGCAAGGAAGTTGATGAATCGTCATCTGACAGGCTCAATTATACATTAGGATTATTGAATACCAATTAGAACGCTTACACTAACTAGTTTGAAAAGTTTACTTTGTATGCATCAAAGTGATATCATTCATAAAGTTGGTTTCGGCTTTCTCTTGTTTGCTTCTTACGAGAGAAGTCTCTCAACTCGATAATCGCTTTTGAGTCGAGATTATGTGCATCATGTAGACCCAAATAAGTTTTAAATGTCCTGAAAAGTATTCGAGCGCTTGGTTTATAGTTGCTTGGCTCATAAATATCAGGAAAATTGATTTTCAAATTTCGATTTGAAACTTTAAACAAGATTAATATATTATGAAAGTCTCAAATCTTTTGATTTGCTTCTATCCTGGAATAAGAATATCGAACTTACCTTCATATATGAATAATGTAAAAGATATATTTTTACCTTAGCTATATCTGATGATAGAAACAACAACAAAATCTCAAATATTTACAAAAAACTATTCTCGTTAAGAAATGTGTCTATGCCAAGTTTAATATTGAAATTCGAAAATCAATTTTCCTGCTGTTCCTGAGGAAAGCAACCATAAGCTAAGAGCACGAACTCTTTTCTGGGTATTCATAGCTCATTTGGTTCTACATAATGAACATAGTCTCAACTTAAAACCAATTTATTAGTTGAGGGACTTCCCTCGCTAGACAAGAACTGAAAATTATCTATAGATCATTCAATATTTATTTATCTGACTTAACATATGCAACGAGAAAACTTTAAATAGGCTTCTATAATGAAAGCAAATTGCATATAATCCAACTTTGCATCCTATTATTACTTACGACCTATCCAGTACATTAAAAAAAACGAAAGATGAACAAAACAAACACGAATATACAGCTACATGAAGGAAAATAATCTTTATTAATTATACACAATAGACGTAGTTTTGCTTTAAAGAATCAGATAAGATCAATTAAAACAAAAACAAAGAGCCACTTTATTACTATATATGAACAATTTATAGAAATTGTGTACAACGCTTGTACTTTACTTCCTAAGAAAAAACATGTCTGTTTCTCAAATGTTCAAAACCAACAAATTATCTTGTAGAGAAATGATTTTCGAAAATCTTCCTCCACTCACGCAGTATTCCCGATTAAGGGGACTCCCTTCACCCCCAAACTGTCCGCTTTAGAAGGATGAGCAGATCCTCTGTTGTCGGAGGAACTGCTTAACGACTGTAGGTTTCGTTCTGTCCCCTCGCCCAGTCATTATCTCCTGCAATCCGAGAATGAAAGCACTTTTCAACAACCCTGGACATACATAAGCACAAGTGCCTAGATTTTGTATCTCTGAACCTGATAGTCCGTCAAAAACAAAAACCTTGGTCAGATCGACAATAATTCCTTTATTATGACAGAAAAAACTGAATTTTGACGTCATTCTTTTGATCCAATCTCGAGAATTTCCAATATTATCAATAAATTCTCAATTCTTTCTTTAATAACATTTGATCTGTACGTACACATTTTTTCGAAAAACAAAAGAAAAAAAAATTTGATCTTTCTTTTTTTGTTTTCTTATGAATAAAAAACCCCCCTCTTTAATATTATTTATTATATATAAAACATACTTTGTATTCGAAACTTCAAGACTTAAAACATTATAAATTTTATTTCGATCATAATTTTCAAAATATTCAACATAATCATTAAAACTCATTTTATAAATCACTTGTTTTTCACAGTCAATTATATCAATATATTGATCATGACCTATAAGAATAAATAATTAAAACAAAAAATAATAAATTACATTTATCTTTTTAGTTTTTTTTTCTTTTTATACCAATAAGTTTATTAATTTCTTCTAATGTTATCATTCTATTTGGTAATGTTAATTCAAGACCATCACGATTTGATATTAATATTGGTTTTGTAAAACCAGTTTTAAATAAATATTCACTTGTTAATTGATCACCTTTTATTCGTATAATTACTGGCTCACAACTATATATAAACAAAAAAAAAAAAAAAAAAGATTATGATTTTAAGTCAATCGATGCAAAGAAAAAAGAAAGAATTTTACTCTAAAAATGTTTTTTGTTTTAATTTATTTATAAAAACTTTTGTGCCACTTTGCACGGGCTAGAAAAATGTATAATTGAATTTTTTTTGAAATCTTTTTATTTAAATTACTTTAAGCTCAGCATTCGAATCACTAAAATCTCGTCTATGTTGATTTTGTTGTGGTTTAACTAAAAACAAAAAAAATTTTATAATAAAAATTAAATTAGTTATTTCGATTATACATACATATTGAAGGTCCATGTTGTTTTGAACATTCCATACAAAAATATTTTTCAATATCATCTATTAAAAAGAAAAATTTCAAAATAAAATTAATAAGGAAAATTTTTTTTTTTTCTACCAGCAATTCGATCAGCTAATGATACACATCGTCCATGAAACCAACCATTACAACCATCACATTCAATCATAAAATCATCTTCATTATCTTGTTCATTTAATTCATCTTCACTTTTTTGACATATACAATAACGTCGTTCAGTATTATTAATTTCTAATGAGTTATTAGTAGAAGAAAAATCTTTTTGTGACATTTTCTTCTGAATTATTATTAGTTTTAATCAACTAAATATTTAATTGTTTGATTGATTTCTAAAGAAAAAAAAAACTATTTTGACATTAAGATTCGATTGAGTAAAGAACGAATACAAAATAAGATTTAGTGATGAAAGATAGCAGCACATGCGATCTCACTGATAAGACTAGTTATATAGATGTCACCTAGATTAGGTCAATGAGTTTAGAATTGCATTAAAATTTCTTGTCGATTATACTCACGAATGACCAAGTAAAAAATGATCGCATTTCGTATTTTATTTTCGCAAGACGTCTTATTCAAATATAGAATGTTCTACAATCTAGAAAGTAAAGCTTATATTTGTTAAGGATTGTCCAATACAAGCAAATATATTACGTCTTAGTTTATTCTCTCCAAGTTATAGGACATATCATAGTGATATTTTCCATTCTATGTTCTTGCAATATGTATAGGTTTATTCCTTTCTGTTTGTTCTCTTTACGTTCTTCTTCTCTTCGTATACTTTGTGGTTAGTTTTATTGAATAAAACTGAACTCACGTTCACAAACTAACAAAACCTACAATATTTAATTGTGTATGTTTGTTTTTGTTTTCAAACTAAGTAAATTTTTTTTTGTGACCGATTTTCAACTCTACGAACATAATCATTTTTGGATAAATAATCAATTCACTTTTTCATATTATTGATGGAAGACAATTCTATTGATAAGAAGACAAACAAAGAAATATAAATCTAAAAGGATAAGTATTCAAAAAGAATTATGGTATAATTTAGTACATCTAAAAATGGTCTTAACCTATTTATATAAACTCTTTGTACAATATACTTATAAGTCATTGCAGAGAATCAAAAGTAATCTGCTAAAATGAGAATTTCATACTCTCTCGAATTATATATTAAAAATTATTTTCTGACTTAAAGTTAGTTTATTGAGAACGAGTCTTTGATGACGGTTAAAACTCATGTTCACAGGAAACACTAATTGAAAAAGATATTTTTTTTAATATGTTGGCTCAGTTTTTTTTTTTTGAGATCTTGATGTCATTGAACAAGCTCAAAAGCTGTCATTTAGTAACAAAATTTGATACTCTTTTCAAATGTGTTCTAAGAATTTTTTACTGACTTACGGTTGTTTGCACTAACGAGGGAGCTTCTTCAGCAGCTGCCTTCTGATTTCAATTATATTTTCGCCTATAGGTACTATATAGTGTTCTAATAAAAATTCTAAAACGATTTGGATTCATAGTGAGATTTGACTGAATTGAAGGCTCATAATCTCAAATTTTGATGTGAAACTTTGCGTATATAGAGAACTTTACTAGACTAGCTTTCATAACAATATTCATAAATTTTGAAGAGAGACTCTAGGAGATATGAGACTTCCAGAATATAGATCCTTCTCCATGTATAGTGTATAGAACACGTACTTTTTAACAGTCGTTCATATCTCGAAGAGACTTCACTGAAAACTTCTGAACTGCTTTTTTTTTTATTAAATCTATTGCCTAAACTTAATTTTTCAGGCGTTTTCAAGATTTTTTTATAACTCCTAAACTATGAGCTTTTCAAAAATTTTGAATATAGCTTTGGAAAGAGCACAAAATTTCGATTCTAATCAAGTGTTTAATACTTTATGCAGACTTTTTGAATCGATCGAAAAATGAAAGAATATTCTGTCTAAAAATTTTCGACTCATTCGTTAATAGTTCAAACATGAATATTTTCTTTGAGGTGACGTTCTTGAAACCAAATCAGCTATGCATTAACTACTACCAAACCTTTTAAAGTGAAATACTACTCGATAAAAGTAAATTTATGATCATTGAGTACTCAATGAAAGTATGTGCTTTCGTGGGAATGGTGTTTTTTTTTTCTTATATAATAAGATACATACTTAAGTAGACACTATTAATAAAACTATTGTCTGACATGACTCAAATTTGTCATGCAAGATTTATATGTACTCTTTATACTTCNGGGTGCGGGTGTGGGTGCGGGTGTGGGTGCGGGTGTGGGTGCGGGTGTGGGTGCGGGTGTGGGTGCGGGTGTGGGTGCGGGTGTGGGTGTGGGTACGGATGTAGGTGTAAGTATGTGTTTGGGTGCTGACATGTGTGTGCAAGCGAAAATTCCACCATATGTATACTTACATTCATATCCACATCCCAGACCCTCTGGTAAGGGTGGTTTGGAAATGTCTTCATCAATTATTGTGCTGGTCGTCATCCCTTCTCGATCGCTGATGCTGTCATTTGAGAATAATTCTTTACAGACTTTTTTGCAACTTTGTACTTCAAGGTCGGTCGTAAAAGAGAAAATAATGAACTCCTCTTTTTCTCTATCTCACATTGGACCCCATATCAATTGCTTGTATATGAAAGTATATGCGAGGCAGAAAGCGTGTATCTTCAATCGACAAATAAACAAGGTGAGAGATAAAACCCAGATAAAGTTGTGAAGAAGGTTGCAGCTGCTTTCTTATCTCTACTAAAAGACAACAAGCGCACATAGAAAGACTATAAGCATGCACAGAAAGAGTATAGGCATAAACAGAATGACTTCGACTACGATGCAACATACTGCTAACTCAGACACGGCCGAGGATGCTATGGGCATTTCGGTTCGTGAGAATCGTAAATCGATCAACATCAAGGTGCAATCTAAATTATCGTGCTTACTCGGTCATTCATCAAGAACGAGCTTTCCTTTGTTCCGCTCATTATTCGGCGATCGCGTTTTTGTAGCGGTCTTCATAAGCGGACTCATATTCGGCTTGGTGCAAGGTAAGAATCTTGATAAATTTGTAAGATCCTAACGAGTAGACCGCCACCGTTCATGGTTTCAACAGTGTCGACTTTTTTCTCTGCTTCTTTATTTTTGGTAGAGTTGCTTTTTTTGGGCACATAAATGTTGAACTTGCGAGAAAATCAAAATATTTGTTTGAGCTAGATCTTGAATTCTGCCCATTTTAATAAAGCGAATATATACACACTTAGAGACAGTGATGCAAAACCGCGAGTAGTGTTACTTATGATGGATTATTGTTGATCAAAGCGATATGAGTCTCAAAATTTGTGCACTACTGCTCTCATCCTGAAAATACAGTCTAGCTTCTCTAGGAAACGTTTCGACTGATAAAGGTAGTCCAAGCTTTATTCGGATTGAAGAAACTACGAAACACTTATTATACTAGTGAATCACCAAAAGAAATTCTCAAAATGTCCTTAGCGCCTGAATATGACCAAAATCTTTTTTCAACATGATACTGAAGATATCTTGGCTGAAACGGATTCTGTTTCTTTTACTGATAGTGTGATAATTTTGAAACGATTTGAGGGTGAGAGTGAGAGTCAGGGCAAGGAAGAAAAGCGCGACTTCAGTATTTCAAAATACAAGTGTAGCTCGAGTAAAATTCAAGTGAAAAGTTTGTGAAATACGCCAGAAGTGCGATACTCATCGCACTTTGCAGTACTGTCGCAGCGCTTTTTCTTCCTTGCCCGCATCCGCACGCTCACTGCGGCCCTGACACCAAGGAGAAAAGTCTCGACTTCAGCACTTTGAAGTAAGAGTGAAGTGCAAGTAAAGTACCTTAAAGTACAAAGAGGGAAGTGCAGATTAGGAACCCCCAGCAACTCAGCACCTTGCGGTAAAACGTGGTACTTAACTGCTGCCAAAATAAGTGCATCATCTAAGCATCAAATTTTACCACGCGGTGCAGAAAAAAACGTTGAAGGTGTCGGAAAGTTGCTGTGGATGTTGACAAGGTGCTGAGATGCGGGAGGGAGTGGGAGTCTAAACCCGCACTTCCTCCCTTTGTTACGTGTGACTGAAGTACAATACTTAATGTACTTCATTCATACCTAGAACTACCGAAGTCATGCGGTTTCCTCTTTTGGGTTATCGATAAATAGAAGAATCCATGGCACGTTACACACGAAGTTGGCACCCACATCCAACACGCACTGCCTGTATTAGATGTAAACCGTGTCGCTTAAATCGAGTCCAAACAGCACTTGAAATCGGTTAAAATCTAAATTTTGCCCAAAACTTCTGTATGACAGCCTGATGAGAGAGGAAATTCATATATTGCACTGGTGGCGTGGCTCTGACCAGCGCATACGGGTGCATTTCATCCCACTGTACATGTTTTTGAAACGAGCAGCATCACAAATTGCTAAACAGTGGTGGTGGCAATGTCTCTGTATGCCCCCTCTATAAAAAGGTGTTTGCATTCCAATAAAGATTTTGTAAAAAGAGAATGATTAGCAATATGTCATTGAAATGTATAGCAAGAAAAATGAACTTCTATCTTCGCGGGCCCGTCGCCTAGACCGTAAGAGAAATTTGGAAGGATTTTTCAGCACACCTGACATAGTTTACGGCAGTCTCAAGAGTAGTTTGTATGTTGATGTTGGTCTCCGGCGATACTGTGATAGACGTTGTTACTATTAAAATGGCTTTAACCTGTTTCACATTTTAATATCGTGAGGATTATGCTGAAAGTGTTTTGTCTATGGCTCTACCTTCACATTCAAACTCAAGCTCTTCTCCAGACATATTCACATCTCCACCTACCCACCCATCCTTGCTCATCCTTAGTTGCTGCAAGTAGTGTACTGCGTGATTGAGTAGCAGGAAGTTTGCCAATATAGCTCCAGGATATTCGCCAATGGGTGAACGTCATGTAAAAGTCGCCAATAATAGAGAAATTCCACATCATTCTCAATTAGTTGAGCGGAGGATGCTCATGCATGGTATTGTATGTTGTGGGCACTGATTCTATTTCTCCTAAGATATTGCTAATCTGGTGAGCACATAGTAGGCTTGAATTCATAGTTGAATAAGCTACGGTCCCCGTCAGTATCAGTAAATTGCTCGAGTCGGCTATCGCCAATATTAGCCAGCGTCCACTTGACTTTCACCAGTATACCGCCTGAAAATTCGCTAATATACCAATAGTGTAAAACTTGAAACTTGAATTCAATTGAAATTTTGAA